GCCGCCGGCTGGGAGACCTAAAGCGTGAGTCTCCCGAGAGCCCCACCTCGGTTTTGCAGGCGAGACCGGCCCTTGTGGAATTCGAGTCGAATCCAGAAGAAACCGGGGAGCCCGCGTCTCCTCGGCGTGCGACGCAACCCGGCCTGGAGTCCCCCGAAAGTCAGCCGGAGACATGTCCAGGATCACCCAGTCTACGGCCAGGAATAGGCCTGGGGTTCCCCCGAAGGGATTCGGGCCCAAGATCTCCCCAGGGTCAGCGAGAGGCAGGCCTGGAGTCTCCCCGAAGACACCCACAGTCGAGTCTTGAATCCCCCCGACGTCAGCCAAAGCCAGGTGGGGAGTCACCAAAGAAGTTCTTCCAGAGCCAAGAGGAACCGGACGCGGAATTGGCCCACAGTAGGGAAGAGCTGGCCGGGGGGTCCCTCCGACGTCAGCTGCAGCCAGGCCCAGGATCGCCAGAGCCTAACCCCGGTCAACAAACGCCGGGTCCCGAGCCCTCGCCGCCGCTGCACGACCTGACGCCTCAGTCAGCTAACTCCACGCGGGGTCAGTGCCAGCCACCTCCAGCCGCGGCTGGGGAGCCGGGGAGAGACGGTCAGTGGCCAAAGAAGCGAAAAGGATCTTCAGCCCAGGCCCCAGCGCCCAAGAAATTGAAGGAGGAGGTGGAGATTCCTGTAATCCCGAAGGGAAAGCCCAAGTCGGGGCGCGTGTGGAAGGACCGCTCCAAGAAGAGGTGAAGTTGAGGGGGAGTAGCGCAGCTGCGCTGGGTGGGGTTCTCAGTGGTATTGGGGCGTCGGTGCAGCCTGGAGACAGCCGCTGGGTTGGCGAGAACTCACACAAACTGGTCATTATCATCAGAATGTGTAAAATGCCCTGGCACCCCAGGGAGGGTGACAGCGTGGTTATTTTTGTGCTTCCTCCCTCCTCAGGGTCCCTCTGGACCTCTCCTTGGGCACCTCGCTTGTGTTTTCATTCAGTAGGCATTTACCTTTGTCCGCCCCCTCTCCCGAGGGAGGCAGAAGCAAGTAAACCAGCCATTATTTGATAAAATGCAACGAGGCCTGTCTTTGCCCACTATTACCTGTTAAGGTGATTTGCCTTTGTGACTGACGACTTAAACAGATAATAGGGGGGCAAGACACCGGGTATATGGGACAGCGCTAACCACTTTAGGAAGCATTAGCCAGGGACCGGCCTTTCAAACAGAGGGACCAGCATGCATCATGGCATTTAATCTGCACACCAACCCTGTGAAGCAGCAGGTTCGTCCTCATTGCACATGTGAGGATTATCTTCCTGTTACATATGAGGCATCTGAGGCCCTGCCGAGAAACCAGGTGTGAACAGATCGTAGGAGGTTTGGGGCGAAAGCAGAGAAACCGGTAAGGAGGCTGTTGCAGAAGAACTAAAACACCTTCAGAAGCCGGAGGCAGGCCCTTGTGCCGATAGATCATTGGATTGATGTTCGGGATCTTTGAGGAAGCAGCTTCGGTGGGTGGTGGGTGAGCCCAGAGACGGTGGAGGCAGCCCCCGCTCCAGGAGGTGGCCCGGGACATCTTGCCGTGCGCCTTCTCACAGAGGGCATCTCCTTCCTCCTACGACTGTGTCACCGGCACACTTCAGAAAATCAGAACTTCCCCTGATAACCTCCAGTGCCCACTCCATTTTCACATTCCCCGACCGGGGAGAGAGAGGCCGAACTGCGCCCGTGCGCGCTGCCCCGGCAGGCAGGGAGCGCCATCTGCAGAGGCGTCCGTGCGCTGGGGGAGAGCAGCAGGGCTTAGTGGCCGTGGCCGAGTGGCCTGGACTCTGTGGTCACATACAGGGATTCGGGAACAGGGTGACCTTGGGTAGTTATTTAACCTCTCTGAGCCTTGGTTTGCTCCTCTGTAAAATGGAGAGAACAAGAGTCCCCTTCTCAGAGGCACATGACCAGGGCTTAAGAAACGGCAGCCAGCACGATCGGAGCCGTTTCTTACCCTGAGTCTGGGCAGACCTGGAGGCCGCCTGCCCAGCACACAGCAGGCGGGGAGGTGATTCTGACTGGGTCCCGGGGAAGAGCCCGGAACTAAGGGGAGAAGGTGCCTCCCATGGGCTCCAGGAGTGCCCTCGCTCCCCCATCCAGGTTCTCCCAGATGGTTCAGGACAAGCCCCTGCGCACATCCTGGCAACGGAAGATGAAGGAACGGCAAGAGAAGAAGCTGGCCAAGGACTTTGCCCGGCACCTGGAGGAGGAGAAGGAGAGGCGCCGGCAGGTGAGGGGCCGGCCAGGCTGAGGCTGGAGCTCAAGGGCTGAGCTCTGCTGTTACAGGCCTACGGGAGGGGAAAGCTCGCACAGGTGCCCGGGGGGACGGCACAGCGAGGCAGGGAGCCTGGCAGGAAGCAGAAGCACAGTCTGGGACCACAGGCTAGAGGACTGTCCAGTTAAGCCTGGGGCTCCGCATGCGGCTCAAGGATGGGAAGAGGCCCGGGAAGAAGCCCCCGAGTGGCCCACTGGTGATAGGAACTTTCAGTGAGGTGGGGTCGGGGGGTCCCTGCTCAGGTGGGCAATGCTTACAGGTCAGAAAGCTTCACCCTCGTATTGTCACCGTCATTCTCCAAGAGGTGGCTGCCACAGGTCAGCAAAGTGGGCGCCCACGCTTTCGTCCTTTCCTCCCTGATGCTCATCCCAGGGCCAGAAACGCCCCACGAGAGGTTCACGCCCAGCCCCTTCGGTCTCCGGGAAGCCCCAGGAGGCCCCAGCAGAGAAAGTGGGGCACCGGCGTTGGCTGGTGCCTGCTCCTGCAGTGCCAGGGTTCTCAGCGGGACATTGCTCCCCCAGGGATCCCAGGGGCACAGGAGGAAGCAAACACCTTGCTCCAGCCTGTGGTCGCAGCCTGGCCACTGAGGGGAGGAAGTGGGCCGGTCACTCGGTCACCTGTCCCCTGCTTTGAGCCGCCCTGCCTCAGCCTGTGGCCGAGGTCCTCTAAAAGGTGTGGCCACTTCCTGGTGCTCAGGCCTTATCTTACTTCCTGTGTGGCCCCGGCCCCCTCTTGGGCAAGATGGCCTTTCTCACCGTCAGCTTCAGAGGGGTGCCTGCCCAGCCCCCCAACCCCGGCCACTCCTGACTGCGGGCCGAGCCTTATTTCTCATTCTCCCCAGGGGCCCAGGCCACCCCTGCTCCCCTGAGCTATCAAAGCCAAGAGATGCCCCAGCTCATGCAGCGGCCTCAATGCCCATATCCCACCCTGGCCCCACCGGGGACAGCGGCCAACAAAGCTAACAGACCGTGGGGCGTCCCATTCCCAGGGCCGTCTCCCTCCAGGTTCCCCTTCTCTGTGGTCGTAGTGGGCTGGGTGACATCCCAGACTCACTATGTGTGTTCATCTGTTCATTCCTCAAAACAAGCTCATGTGGTCACTCTCACTTTGTAGGTGGGGTCAGTTGAAGCACAGAGAGATTAAACAACTTGGCCGAGGTCACCTGTTTAGGAAATAGCAGTCAGGATTCGAACCAGAGCCTCTGCTCTGCAGCCTCCGCCTTTCCCAGCCCCCCACCGGGGCACAGGGACCTCAGGGGCAGAGAAGGTGGGAGTGTGGGAAGGGCCCACCCCTTGTCCCCGGCGGCGGAGGAGGGAGTGGTTCCAGGGGCCACTGGCTACGTGGGCCTGAGTTCCCAAGTGTCAAGCCACCCATGTCCTCAGCTGCAGTCCAGACGCCCACCTTCTCAGGTGGGGCCAGTACCTTCCCACCACGGAGGGCTCTGGTCCCCGGGGACAGGGACTGTTCCTTCCCGCCCGTCCACCCACACACCACCAGGTCCCGGGAGCAGAGGGCCCTTCCCCTCCTCCCCGGGAACTCGGCCAGCTCTCTCCGCTCGGGCGCCTGGGAGACTGGAGCCACCCCAGCTCCCAGGCCCAGACCCCCTGCCCCTGTGCGTTGCAGGAGAAGAAGCAGCGCCGGGCCGAGAACCTGAGACGCCGCCTGGAGAACGAGCGCAAGGCAGAGATAGTCCAAGTGGTGAGTGTGGCCTGCCCGGGGGCCTGGGGGCTGCGTTCCTGCCCCGCACCCCTGCCTCTCATCCCCACCGCCTGCCCACCGAGATCCCGGCCTCCCTTCCCCTGGTGAACAGGGCGGAGACGGCAGCCACATTAATGCCCTCCCCTCACACGCCCGCAGATCCGAAACCCCGCCAAGCTCAAGCGGGCGAAGAAGAAGCAGCTGCGCTCCGTCGAGAAGCGGGACACTCTGGCCCTGCTGCAGAAGCAGCCGCCACAGCGGCCCGTGGCCAAGGTCTGAGCTGAGGCCAGCCCAGAGGGCTCCTGCAGCCAACCACCCACCGCGTCGGACGTGGCGCCTCTCAAGCCACTGGTCGCACACCTCTTCGCTGGACCTGGCACCCCAGCCCTGGCTCCTGCACAGGGGCCCCACTCCAGAGGGGTCTCGGATTCTTTGAGGGCGCTTAGGCAGGTCTCTGTGAGACAGAGGCCCAGAGGGGGCCTGGGACCTGGCAGAGAGGAGGGGCGGGGGTGGGGGAAGAGGTTCAGGGCCCTCCTCTCTGCTTCCCTCCTTCTCCAAGTGCCTTCAAACCGAGGAGAGTAAGTTCTTCCAGTTCCTCAGGGAGCTAGTGACTGAAGCGTGACTCCCCTGAACTCGAAAGTCCTGGGTCAAGGTCCTGGGTCCACCCCAGGCCAGGAGGCCGTCAGTCAGGAATCCAGCCCCACCATACCTTCCCGAAGGCTGCTTTCGGCACCTCTGCACCCCACTGACCCCCGACTGCGTCCAGCTCCACCCTCTGTGCAACACCGAAAGGTGCGAGTGCGAGGTTGCGGGGAGCGGCATTCCCCTCCAGCCCCCTCGCCTGCACCGGCCTCGGCGGGCGCCCCGGAGATCTGACTGTCTACAACAGAAGTACCGACTGAACCCCTGCCGTGTGCAGGCGCAGATCTCGGTTCCAGGGAATACAGGGTCCCTGCCCTTGAGCTCTCACTCTTACAGAGAAAACATAATAAACGAGTAAGGTTTATTACATGTCAGGCGGCGAAAATGCTATGAGTAAAGCAGGGGAGGGGTGGGAGGGAACCGGAGCAGGGTGCTGTGATGGGATGTTTGTTCTGCCAGCTGGACAGCTGCTGTCCAGTGGGCTGGCCCTGTCCGGGACTGGGAGTGGACCTTAAACTGGCCTGCCCAGCCTGAGGCTGGCTCGAGGAGCACTGGACCGAGGTCCCAAGAAAGTCTCTCATCCTGGCTCTTCCACTCGTGTCTCATCCACCGAACACTTCCCGGCACCAGCTCCGTGCCAGGCGCTGGGATGCAGGTCTGAGAACAGCAGGCTGACCTTGAGTCCGCGGCAGGCAGAGGAGATGGGCATGGTGCTTCCGGCGAGCTGTGAAGGGCATGCCAGTGGCCCCTCACCGCTGCAGGCGGGAGTGGCAGGCACCCAGCCCCTGTGTGGTCTGGAGGTGGGTGCTGCAAAGATCTCGGGGTGGCCCACGTTGCCCACAGAGCGTGCCACAGAACACGGGCACCCAGAGGTGTCACGTTAGTGAGGGAGTGTCACGGGCTGTGATCTCGGCAGCTGCTGTGCCCATTAAAATCCTCAAGACAGAAGACAGTCAAGATGCCCACCGCCCTGTGGTCAGCCCTGGTTGCCCAAACGCTTGACCACGGCACACCTTTGCTTTTTCCACCTCGTAAACACTTTGAGCACTGGGCCGGAGGGAGGGGATGGAGGCTCACACAGTTACTTTCCTACTCCCTGCGGTGCGTCAGGATGTTGTGTCACTTACTACATAGCCAGTGAGCAAGCAATGCTTCACGGTCAGCATGCGGACCCGTACTTGGGGCATGGAACCTCCCCGCACCTGGATGCGTGTATCTGTGAGAACTGGGGCGAACAGAGCCTACCACGCAAGAACGTGGAATGAAACACCCAGCCCGGTCAACACCGGGTAGACGGCTAACGGGAAGAAGCCAGACCGGAACAGTGTTCCCCAAACCTTCCTCTCTTCCCGGCTCCAAAACGGCATCACTGGTGTCATAAAAAGTCCCCTCCTCCCCCCAGTCACCTGGTGAAGCTGAGCTCCAGGGAGATGCATCCTGTGTGTGCGCGGGAGCAGCCCGCAACCCTGGTTGGAGAAGTCTCAGGTGGTCCTAGCCCGGTGTTACCCCAGGTGCGGCCCGTGGCCCAGCAGCACCTGGGAGCTTGTTAGAAATGCAGCCTCTCGGCCCCCGGCCCCACCCGCTGGTCCTCGGGCGGCCCGTGCGCAGGGAAGTTTGCAAAGACTGCTTTAACTCCGTCGGTGAAAAGGCGTCACCGAGTCACACCGGACACTGTAAAATGCAGATTCTTGGGGCCTGCCCTCCGGACTAAGCTCTCAGGCTGGGACTGGGCTATCTACATTTTAACAGGCGGTGGCTTCAGGATGCTTTGGCGCTGGGTCGCAGCCTTGCCTCTGCCTTTGCCTTTGTCTTCGTCTTCCGGGGAGAATGGCAAGGCGGGGCCCGTGCCTCTAACCAGAGGTGTTGCTCAGTGCCCGGCTCAGGGGGCCGTTCTCCTCCTGGGACCCGGCCCGGGCCTTCGCCGACGGTGCAGCGGGGCCACCACGCAGCCAGTCCAGCAGGCGCTGGGACCTGCGTGGGCGGGGGACCACGGTGGTGGAGGAGGCGCGGCGCCGGCGGCTGCTGCTGCCGGTGACGAGGTCGCTGTCGTCCACCAGCACGCTCTCCAGCACGCTGCGCAGCGAGCGCCGCAGCTTGCGCAGCAGGTCGGGGCAGGTGAACACGTAGAGCAGCGGGTTGATCACACTGTTGATGAAGGCCAGGCTGGTGACGAAGGGCAGCCCGCGCCAGGCGAGCGGCCGCAGCGCCTTGTTGCTGTGCGAGCGCGCCTCCAGCAGGCTGAAGACGTGGTAGGGCCCCCAGCAGAGCGCGAAGGCCGCCACCACGGCCGCCACCAGGCGCACGAAGCGGCCGGACCGCCGGCGGCCGCGTTGGCGCAGCTGGATGCTCACGGCTGCGTGGCTGGAGGCGATGATGGCCAGCGGCACCAAGAAAGCCAGCAAGAACTTGCTGACCGCCAGGGCCAACTGGCGCGAGTTGCACGTGGCGTCGGGGTCCGGCCCGGGGTTGAGGAGCAGCACGTTGTAGTAGCACATGATGCGCCCGTCCATCCGCGGGATGGTGTCCCGGAACACAAAGTAGGGCACGGTGTTGAGCACGGCCAGGGCCCAGAGCACCAGGCAGACCTTGTGGGCCGCCGCCACCGTGCGGTGGTTCTGCGCCCACACGGGCCGCACCACCTGCAGGCAGCGGTCCAGGCTGATGGCACTGAGCAGGAAGCCGCTGGCGAACATGTTGAGGAAGAAGATGGAGGAATGTATCTTGCAGAAGGTGGTGCCCAGCTCCCACGAGTGGCCCACGGCCAGGAAGTAGGTGAAGAAGGGCAGCGTGGCAGTGGCCAGCAGGTCGGACAGCGCCAGGTGCAGCACCCAGGTGGTGATGACCGTCTGGCGCAGGCGGCAGCCCACCAGGAAGAGGATGAGTCCGTTCTCCACCAGGCCCAGCAGGGAGGCCAGCCCGTGCAGCACCACCGACGCGTGGTCGATGTAGCGGATGCTGGAGTTGCTGTGCTTCTGCAGGCGCGTCATCTCCTCGAGGAGCGGGCAGAGGAGCTTCGTGGCGTTGGCCGACATGGCGGGCGCTGCTGCAGAAAAAAGGAGGCACTGAGGTGGGCAGGGCAGCGGGGACCCTGGCCAGGAGACGGGAGACTGACTCACGGGTGTCGTTGATGAGGCCCCCGGGGACCGGTGAAGGCGAGCAAAGGCAACGAGGTGGGGGAGAGTGCCTCTCGGCCGCCCCACCTGCTAGCCGTGCCCCCTCGAGCGAGCCATTGGACTTTCCGGAGTCAGCGTCCCTCTCTGCCCACGGACCTCGGTCATGACACGACCTACCTCGGAGGGCTGCTGGGAGAAGTAAGTGGACGACTGTGTGTAAATATTTAGAACAGGACCTGGCACACAGTGGCACGACATCAACGTCCGTGCCGCTATGGTTAAGCAGGTGGCCTCAGGTCACATGGAGGAATAGGAACAGGCTCAGGCCAGGAAGGACTGACTCTTTCGCCGAGTCCCTGGGGCGCTGAGGCACAACTGAGGCCTCACCTCGAGGGCAGGTGGGTCCGGCTGGCCTGGCGGACGGAAGGAGCCTGTGCCTTTAATGGATGCTGCCCTTCCCCCACCCACAGCACCCGCCCGCCCCCCCCCCGCCCCCCACCCAAACCTTGGTTCTCTGCAGATTCTCCTTGGAGCCCTCCGCTCCCACAGAGGCAGTTGATTGGGTGTGTTGGCTGCAAACAGTGGAGCCGGCCCCTCCTCTGATAATCGAAGAGGAACTAAGATAAGAGCTGGGAGAGCTGAGCAGGAGGAACTACCACACCGGGCCTCTGGAGACCCAGTAAAAGACCTCTCCCCTGCCTGGGTGGAAGCTTCCGTGGCTCTGCCTGCCCCAGGAAACCCAGCCTGTCCATTCATTTATTCATTCACCCGTGCACCCGTGCAGCAGACACTCATTGAGCAGCTAACCACTCAGGGAACCGTGGCAGAAGCCAGCCTCCGGCAGACGGGCGTGCCCACGGCCTCATCAAAAGCACGAGACCATGTGATGTGAAGCTGGTTGAGATCGGTGAGGGCTGAGGAGGTAGGAGACAGGTAGGGGCTGGGGGGCGGGGAACACAGATCATCCCAGGCCCCCTCCCAGCACGCCAGGACTGTGGTAGGGTTCTTATATGGGTGTTCTCCCTTGCTCACGGCTCTACAGGAAAGACGCCAGTCCTTCTCTCCATCCCATGTTGCAGATGAGAAAACTGAGGCTCAAGTGTTTAAATAACTTGCCCAAAGCCACCCGAACAATACAGACCTGTAGATGAGTAACAGCCTAGCGCTTAGCCCATTTTCCTTCCTCTCCCTCTGCTCTAAATAAGAGACGGTGGAAGAAGATGGGAAGGAAAGGGGATGGAAGGTGGTCTTCGGTATTTGTCTTCGGTCTTCGGTCTTCACCTACTTCCTTCACCTACTTTCGGCTGGGACTAGAAAAATCTCCAGGGACCGTGTTCTTTTGTAAAGTGAGGTCCCAGGATGTCTATCAACCTGGAATCTTCCTGGCGGATGAGCCCCTTGGACCCGGGGGTCTGCAGGCGGGTGGGTGGGGAGCAGCAGCTGGGCCATTGCTCCCTGAGATGCTCATAATTCCTTAAGCTTTAGAGTCTGTGGAGCAATTGCACGGACGATGGCCCTATGAGACCCCGTTTTTCAGAAGAGGAAACTGGGTGTTGGAGAAGCAACTATCCCGACGTGTCCCTAGCGGCAGTGGCGGAGCTGGGACGACACGGCCAGCAGACAGACCAGTGCCATCCCCTCTCTGCACGTCCAGCAGCTGCTCGTCCAAGTCCCAGGGGGGTGCTCAGCGAGCACAGTCCTGCTGCACCCTGGGGACCCACCCTGATCAGTTCTCTGGCTACTACACACAGTTAGCCCCGCGCCTGCCAGGGTTCTGAGGGAGCCCGGCAGCGGGGGTCCTGTTTTGGGAGGGGGCTGTGGGCGGAGAATGCAAGCTTTTGGAGTCAAGAGACCTAGGTCTGAGTCCCGGCTCCTCGACTGCCTGGCCGGGTGAACTCGGGTCAGTGACCCCGAGACTCTTGCGCCATCCTGGTTAACGCTGAAGGAAATGCAGCCCCTCTGAGCAGCAGGTCCCCCGCAGCCCTCGGTAAACCCAGCCCTCCGTCGTCCTAGCTGATCACAGCCCTCTTCTCTGGTAAAACGGTGCCTTCTCCCGTGGGTCCAGGGAGGGCACCTGGGCTGCCCAGTGCCCGGGCCACTGCCTCCTTACCTGGGCACAGAGGGAGGGAGCACAGGATTCCAGCCTGGGAGGCAGTCAGCTTCTGGTAGCAGCTAGACAAGAATCGCTGGGTAGGAGGAGGCTGCGGGAGGAAATAGCTCTCGGGCCCAGAGTGTTTGTATGTGTGTGTATTTAGGGGTGGGGTGGGGGGGAGGCGGGGACAGCTGGAGAGTGAGCTGTCACACTGGTATTCAAGTAGCATTAATCTGCATTGCTGGGGAAGGGACAGGACCGCGGGGGGTGGGAGGGGGCCTGCTCACCCCTCCCCCTTCACAGCAGCCAGTGCAAGTGCACGTGGGGAGAAAGCTGTGTGCCCAGAAGTGTGAGCCCCAGAGTGCAGAGGGCCATGCTTGTACGGGGGGGCTGGCAGGTAGGGGAAGGGCAGGAGGAAGGAGCCAAGTACTCAGTGTGGCAGCCCTAGGATGCTGATATGCTATTGATGGTTTTGTGAGGATTAACTGGTGTATTAGTTAATAATAACAGAAAGTTGCCCCCGCTGGTATGGCTCCGTGGATTGAGTTCTGGTCTGTGAACTGAAAGGTCACCGGTTCGATTCCCCGTCAGGTTCAATTCTGCACCTGCCTGGGTTGCGGGCCAGGTCCCCAAGCGGGGGCATGTGAGAGGCAAATGATCACCTTTCTCTCACACACTGCGGTCCCTCTCCCTCTCTTTCCCCCTCCCCTCTTCTCTCTAAAGTAAATAAATAAAATCTTAAAAAAAAAAAAAAAAGAACAGAGGAACAGGCAGTGAGAATGGCACCGGGCCATTGGTAACGATGGACCCCGCGGGGTGGGGCGCCCCCTCTGTGGGTCGAGGCTCCAGCCCTGGGGACTCATTCAGTTCAGCAAACGTACGTTGGAATCCCCCCCCCACTCGTCCGACCCTCTGCGTGGTGTGGTGGCGAAGAGGCAAAGCAGAGGGACAGCCTCTGTCCCCAAGTTGCTCATCATGAAGGTGGGGCGCACGTGTGCAGAAACATTACCACGGAGGGCAAAGGCGGCAGGATCCCCAGGGAGGCAGTGAGGGGGAGGTCTAGGGGGTGGATAGACTCTGTTGAGGAGGATCAGGGAAGGCTTCCCAGAGGAGGTAACCTCTGGCGAGGGTTTTGGAGGGTGGGTAGGAGTCCACCGAGAGGCCAAGGGGAAGAATGGTCTTCTAGAGGAAGGAGCACACTGTACGCACATGGCACAGAAACAGCCTGGCAGGCACAGGCTGTGGGGAGGTGGTGATGAGCGCTGACTGAGGATAGGGTGTGATCGGGGGTAGCAGACGTGAAGACGGTGGCGTGGGCAGGGCCGGGTCCCTGAGGAGCTTTCTGGCCGTGCAGGGCGCCCCTGGGCCTCCCACAGTGTCCTGTCTCACTGCCCCTCTGCTGCGTGTTGGGGGCTCCGGGGTCTCCTGGGAAAGGAGGGTTCCTGGGAAGGCCTCACCTGCTTCCTGCCCTGCATGGTACTTCCTGTGTGGTGGACTCCCCTCTTCCTCCTGCTCCTTCTGCTACTTCTTCTTCTTTTAAATGAGAGATAGTTTATTTAGGAAGTCACGGAGGTAGAATAAGCGAGCCACAGAAGAAATGCGCTCAGGAAACAAGTCACAGCGAAAGAAGGGCCCTCGGTACCCAGGGGAGAGTGCACACCTCGGGAGGCTACAGAGGGAGGAGGGGTTCGGCGCGCTCCAGAGGAGGGGGTGACCTGGGGACACAAGGCTGTGGGGAAAGGTGCGGGCGTGCTCCATGGAGAGAACTGCCTTCTGGAGAGGCCAGAAAGGAACGTGAGAGCCCACGTCCCAAGGCAGGGGCAGAGGGAGACAGCTGGAGAGAAGACTGGAACTGGCCCATTCCCTTGACTGTCTGTCAAACACACGTGATGCCATGAGCATCGTCTTGGGAGCCCAGAGGCACTGCTGATCTCAGGAAGGCGTCCTGCAGGCCGGGGGTGGGGCACGGGTGGGAGAAGAAACGCATCCCAGGCAGCAGTCACAGCACGTGCAAAGGCCCTGAGGCGGTGAGAGGATGGAACGGCTGGGGACGGCGGGAAGCGTGCAGGGACTGGGGGGTGGCGTGCTGGACCCGAGAGGCTCTGGCGGCCTGGACAGGTCCCGAGGGAGGCCTGTTGGGCTCAGACTCGTCTCCCCAGCTGCTGCAGGTGAGGCGGACACAGAGATGGACCGGACTTTGGGTCTCTCTGGTGGACACCAAGTCCCAAGCTCCGGAGAAGGCTGTTCTTCAGGGACGAGGGCCTGTGCCCTGAGGGTAGCTGTGTCTTCTTCTAGATCCTGGGGGGTCGCCGGACAGGGCTGGGCAGGGCTGGGGCTGAAGGCCAACCTCTCGTCTCCCCCGCCAGCCACTCATCCCAGCGCTCAGAGAGATCGGGTGGGGACACCAGCTTCCCTGGGCCCCCCCACTCTCTCCCGTTAGTCTGTGAGCCCTCCAGGTGGGCGCTGGCCGCCCTGGCAGCTAGCACAAGGCACCTGTCCCTGCCCTTTCCTGCCCCAGGCCCACGGAGGCCCCCACGTCATGGCAGACAACAGCAAGACATCAAGACGGCGGCGGCTGGCTCCTGTGTCTGCACCGCAGCCGCCTCTGAGCCGAGCCCTTCGTTCCTCATCTCCCACCCCCATCCTCCCACCCCAGGGCTGGGAGGCCCCTGCCCTGTCGGCCTCCCCTGCTCTCCACCAGGCCCTGCTCCCGGCTCCACCCGAGCACCCCAGCCCCACGGACGGACGCAGAGCCCTCCACCCCAGTGGATCCAGCAGCATCGCCACCTGCTCCTCCAAACTCGATACAAACGCAAGTGGCCAGGCAGCACCTCCTGG